AGGAGGAGCAAGAGGAGGAGCAAGAGGAGCAAGAGGAGGAGCAAGAGGAGGAGCAATGTCGCACGGGTCATGACGAAGTCCTTCGAGTGAAACACAAGGTTCCGCCGAACTACCCAAAACCACTGGAACAGCGTTAACTAGCAACAGCAGAAACGGTGGCATAGACGAACTTCGTGCAGGTCCGGCAGTCGTTATGGCCAAAACCATTTGACCTGCTGACTACATGCGGTTTCCGCGTCTTCCTCGCTCACCTCCTCCGACGTTACTCATTTCCGCCCTCTACTCACTTACCATGCCTATCCTTGCTCTTGTTCCTTATCGGACATATGATAATGACAGCCATAGTATTAGACTACTCCAGACGCGGATGACCGAGCGCGCAGCAGCGGTGAGGAGGAACGACGCCAAGTCGCGGCTCATTTGACGGTATCTAACCACGCATTCTAGTTTGATGAAATCGAAATTCTTGCTAGAGACGAACACCGCGTGACCGGTTAACTGCTCGAGTCATGGTTTTCCGGTGCGAAATCAACGATCTCCCCGCTCCATATTCGATGTTGAGACTTTGCCTAGGCAAAGTAGTTAGCCACGCAAAGAACGTACGGATGACGACTGTTCCTGGTGCCAATGTCGGCAAGCTGCGTGTGATTAGCGTGGAAGCCGGTAATTACGATCGACACGCAGGGGCATAGCAACTGCATGACAACTGCACACTGAAACGACTGGCCAGTCGAACAGTGATGCACTCAGGGGCTACCAATTGTGGTAGGCATGTAGTGGCCTAACAACTAAATCCTATACATACTGCAGGAGCTGGGCAATCGACTGCCTTTATCTGACTATGTCTCTGGTGATGTAGTCAGATGAGAATCCGAAATGTCAGGCTATTAAAGCCAGAGGTCGTGTCTCCTTTTTCGAGATATCCTATCGCATTCTGTACATCTCACTTGTGTGAAAATATTACCAATACTTAAAATCTCTGATTAACCGCACGTTTTAACTAACACTGTGGCCATATAAATGAATAAAACGTATGGGAACTTATCGAAAGTAAACGAATGCTAACTAGGTTCTCTTCTGAATTTCTCTCATGATCACATCGCGATTTCATCGCCCCTCCGGAAAGTTTTATCTTCTCAATCTACAAGAAGTGATCCAGTAGAGTGGAAGGATATGTGTACAAAAAATTAGCCCTCTAAAACCAAAAGGCAACTCTTCCAGTGCACAAACCTTGATTTCAGTCTCCAGCTTGGTGTAGAACGCAACCAGTTCTGTTGACCGATTCCGCAGACCCAAGTCAATGACAACAGCGTCCTTGGAACTCTTCAAGCGTTTGAGTTCGGTGAACTGAGGTTTCAGACTGATCAATTTCTCTTGCAGGGCCTTAAACAGAAACAAATACTTTTAATCAGCATCTCCCTCTGGAGAATCAAAAAAGAGGCAAAGCTTCGGAACAAACACCATGTGAGCTGTTATGGAAGAAGAGGCGGATCGGAGTGATTTTAAAAACATTATTGAATATTCGCTGACAAATATAATCGTATTTGGAGGGAAAAAGGCATCGCACCTAACGTTGACTTTATTATAATGGCCAAAAAATCCCCACCCCAAGAGGTTTTGGGTCTGGACGCAACGCATACTGGATCTTCAAATATCAGACGAAACAGATGGCACTATTTTCTCCTGTTCTATTCTCTCAAGGACGTTTTTAACTTCAGTGTGGGAGACTGATTATTCCCCTTCTACACAATGAGTTGGTTTCTGTGTTCACTCTGCTGACTGACGAAACCCTAAATGTGATAACAACCGGAATATGTATTTTTTTCGGGGGAAATCACCATTTTCTCCGGCTGCCGAACTATAAAATCAGGACAGATGAATTTCCGCCTGCTTTTAGGTCGAGATTTTGGGCATTTCTCATTGGAAATGTGTACCATTCGAAAATGAATGCGCAATCTATCTCATGTACCCCCCTCTAAAGAATGAGAAAAGAATAATGGTGGTCGTAGTAGTAGTAGTAGTAGTAGTAGTAGTAGAAGTAGTAGTAGTAGTAGTAGTAGTAGTAGTAGTAGTAGTAGTAGTAGTAGTAGTGGTAGTAGTAGTAGTAGTAGTAGTAGTAGTAGTAGTAGTAGTAGTAGTAGTAGTAGTAGTAGTAGTAGTAGAAGTAGTAGTAGTAGTGGTAGTGGTAGTAGTAGTAGTAGTAGTA